TGAGTCTATGGGCAGTGTGAGTCTGTGGGCAGTGTGAGTCTATGGGCAGTGTGAGTCTATGGGCGGTGTTGAGTCTATGGTGCAGTGTGAGTCTGTGGGCAGTGTGAGTCTATGGGCAGTGTGAGTCTATGGGCAGTGTGAGTCTATGGTGCAGTGTGAGTCTATGGGCAGTGTGAGTCTGTGGGCAGTGTGAGTCTATGGTGCAGTGTGAGTCTATGGTGCAGTGTGAGTCTATGGGCAGTGTGAGTCTATGGGCAGTGTGAGTCTATGGTGCAGTGTGAGTCTATGGTGCAGTGTGAGTCTATGGGCAGTGTGAGTCTGTGGGCAGTGTGAGTCTATGGTGCAGTGTGAGTCTATGGTGCAGTGTGAGTCTATGGGCAGTGTGAGTCTATGGGCAGTGTGAGTCTATGGGCGGTGTTGAGTCTATGGTGCAGTGTGAGTCTGTGGGCAGTGTGAGTCTATGGGCAGTGTGAGTCTATGGGCAGTGTGAGTCTATGGTGCAGTGTGAGTCTATGGGCAGTGTGAGTCTGTGGGCAGTGTGAGTCTATGGTGCAGTGTGAGTCTATGGGCAGTGTGAGTCTATGGGCAGTGTGAGTCTATGGTGCAGTGTGAGTCTATGGTGCAGTGTGAGTCTATGGGCAGTGTGAGTCTGTGGGCAGTGTGAGTCTATGGTGCAGTGTGAGTCTATGGTGCAGTGTGAGTCTATGGGCAGTGTGAGTCTATGGGCAGTGTGAATCTATGGTGCAGTGTGAGTCTATGGTGCAGTGTGAGTCTATGGGCAGTGTGAGTCTATGGGCAGTGTGAGTCTGTGGGCAGTGTGAGTCTATGGGCAGTGTGAGTCTATGGGCGGTGTTGAGTCTATGGTGCAGTGTGAGTCTGTGGGCAGTGTGAGTCTATGGGCAGTGTGAGTCTATGGGCAGTGTGAGTCTATGGTGCAGTGTGAGTCTATGGGCAGTGTGAGTCTGTGGGCAGTGTGAGTCTATGGTGCAGTGTGAGTCTATGGTGCAGTGTGAGTCTATGGGCAGTGTGAGTCTATGGGCAGTGTGAGTCTATGGTGCAGTGTGAGTCTATGGTGCAGTGTGAGTCTATGGGCAGTGTGAGTCTGTGGGCAGTGTGAGTCTATGGTGCAGTGTGAGTCTATGGTGCAGTGTGAGTCTATGGGCAGTGTGAGTCTATGGGCAGTGTGAATCTATGGTGCAGTGTGAGTCTATGGTGCAGTGTGAGTCTATGGGCAGTGTGAGTCTATGGGCAGTGTGAGTCTATGGGCAGTGTGAATCTATGGGCAGTGTGAATCTATGGTGCAGTGTTGAGTCTATGGGCAGTGTGAGTCTATGGGCAGTGTGAGTCTATGGGCAGTGTGAGTCTATGGTGCAGTGTGAGTCTATGGGCAGTGTGAGTCTATGGGCAGTGTGAGTCTATGGGCAGTGTGAGTCTGTGGGCAGCGCTAGTCAATGGGCAGCGTTAGTCTATGGGCAGCGTTAGTCTATGGGCAGCGTTGAGTCTATGGGCAGCGTTAGTCAATGGGCAGCGTTAGTCAATGGGCAGCGTTGAGTCAATGGGCAGCGCTGAGTCAATGGGCAGCGTTGAGTCAATGGGCAGCGTTGAGTCTATGGGCAGCGTTGAGTCTATGGGCAGCGTTGAGTCTATGGGCAGCGCTAGTCTATGGGCAGCGCTAGTCTATGGGCAGCGCTAGTCTATGGGCAGTACGTATGTACGTTGAACTTCTTTCTCACCATACGTAGCCAATAGGCGGCTCAAGCCGCGCTGTGGTGATGGGTTCGTGGTCCTTCATAGCGCTGCGAACCCCTGACGACCCGAGTTCGATTCCTGGCTCACGGCCACTGAACCGGTCCTGGGACCCTCCCCTAGGTCGGCTCGGCCTCAAGTGAGTCACCTTGTGTAGTCGTGTGTCGTAAGACAAAGGCGGCCGGGCGTGGTTGCTGAACTACCTCGCTGTGTGCCGTTCTGGCCTTCATAGAGACTTGCGACTAGCAGCCACTAATCCTTGCCCCAACGATCTGTTGAGGCTACACGGGAGATACTCTTAGATTTTTCGGTAAAGTCACGTAGGTAAACAATGAAATTTAAATTAATATAAACATATTTTATTTTAATTAATTTAATTTTTTCACCTACGTGACTTTACCGAAAAAACTAAGGGTATGAATCATTGCAGTCACGAAAGCTTCAAATCTAGAATACACGGGAGATCTTGCACCTGTGGTTCTTGATGCCGGTCGTGAGCGTTTGCACTCAGTGCCCGATCATCTTGGGAGCAACAGCCGCATTTGCTACGGGCCCCACGCTAAAGGCGTTCAAGCCACCAATTCCGGCTCAGTGAATCTGCACTTGCTCCATTACTAGAGTACTATACCGCCTTCGACTTTTATGAACGGCTGGGTGTTTAGGGTCAGCGATTTGTTGTATTATCCGGCTGTATAGCAAATTTTTTTTTTTACTTTACTGTGCAAGTTAAACATGTATGTGTTTTTTTATATTTACGTGTTTTTTTATTTATTTAGGGCCCCTTTATAACATACGCTTCAGGCCCCGCACTAGCTTCATCCCGCACGGTCTACATTAGATTGTTGTTGTCACTACTTTATCACTAAAGTAGTAATACGTCTTTCTCGGGGCGCACGCCGCGCGGCTTACAGTTTCAATCCACTGCTGGATGGAGCTCGCTCCCCCCCCCCCCAAGCTCAGTGCACTTGTCCCATCAGCCTGTGAGTTGGCTCTCACGGGGGCGCCTTTGTGAAAATTCGGTCACAGTTCCTATGATCACTGTTTCATTGCTTTCATGGCTTTATTTTGGTGATTTCGAAAAGTGTATTGGTTTAGCCATGTTTGTTTGTTGTAGTACAGAGTTAGACTGATGGCCTTAATCTAAGTTGTCTTGTGGTTGTTGTTGTTGTTTGACTTGCATCCCACTGGGATTTTTGCACACAGCGTTGGTGTACGGTTTTTTTCTGCAACATTTTGCTGTCTTTTCTTGGATTTTCTGTTTGCACTTAGTCACATATTCACTTTAAGATGTTTTTTGTTCATGTTTTTGTTTTTTGTTTGTTGCGGATGCACCCGATTCAAGAGCCGAATGCCTCACAGGGCTATAGCTAATAAATGAACTTGAACTTGTGAGTGGTGGCACAGTGGTTAGCGCGCACTGCTGCTGCTGCTGCTACGAACCCCGGGGCAACCGAAGTTTGATTCCCGCTAATGGCCAATGCAGGTGTCGAATTAATCTATGTGTGTGTTTCTCTGGCTCCCACATTATTTAACATCTATTTTGACCACGTAGTTCGTGAAGCCTTCAATAGCTGTACCAGAGGAATTTACATCTGGTACAGATATAATGGGAGGCTGATCGATGCCCAGGTGCGGTCAAGGGATGGCTCCCTATTGGTCAACCATGTTATGTATGCCGATGATCTGGTAATTGCTGCTCACTCAGATGAGGAGTTGGAGGCGCTATTGCTGAACCTGGAGCTTGTTACAAAGAGGTGGGGCCTTACCATCAACCCCACCAAAACTAAGCACCTGCCTGGGTATTTTGTACCATCAGACACTCCACCTCCACAACTCCCAATTGGTGATAGGGAAGTTGTGGAGAGAGTGGAGAGTTTTTCATACCTGGGCAGTGTGCTCATGACCGGCTCCGGTTTAATAGCAGAGGTCTCACTCCGAATCAGTCGAGTGGCATTATCTTTTCATCGGTTGCATAACGCTGTGTGGAAGCTACCTGGTCTGTCGCTCCGCTTGCGAAACGTAGATCCCCTAATGGAACATCTTCGCCAGTTAGAAACATTTAGGCTGGCCTGGTTTAACCAGACTGAATTGTGTGAGGAGCTCACAAATCCTTGAAAGATCTGGACAAAGTCCAATCGGTGAGCTCCTCTGGCAGGCAATGGTCCATTGACTGGGTCATGTAGCCCGCATGCCCAGCCACTGCATGCCTCTAAACAGCTTTTGTTCGGCCGGATCGAGGGGTCTAAATGGGCGCGGTACGGGCGAGAAAAGAGATGGAGTGATGTGCTACAGGAGGAGTGGACTTGCCAATGACTGTTACCAGCGGTGTCAAGATCGGCCTCTGTGGAGGATGCTCGTGAAGGACGCTAATGGGCAGTTGGAGGCATTTGCCCTCCAACAACAACGGAGGGCGGAGGAGCGACGCTCACAACAACGAGCGGAGTGCCGGGTGGCTAAAGAACAGCAAGTTGGCACAGTAGGGGGCACAGGTGGTGCATCAGCCAGTCATCTCAGTCAGTCGACCCGTGGCACCTGGATCTGCCCCATGACCTCCTGCCAGCGGGTGTTCAACACTTCGTGGCCTCATCGTGCACATGGCCTGGCACAAGCATTGTGGTGACGTCACGGCCACTTAGTGGCGAATGGCGGTTGTTGTTGTGTGTATGTGTGTGTTTGTTTGTGTGTGTATGTGTGGGGAGCGGTAGTGTAGCGGTTAGCGCGCTGCGCTATGAACCCGGCGACCTGGGTTCGATTCCCGCTCACGGTCGACACCGGTGACGATTATCTGAACCTGTCCCGGGTCTCCCCTAGGTCGACTCAGCCTCAAAGGAGTACCTGGTGTGGTGTGTAAACATCGCCACTGGGGAGACAAAGGCGGCTGGGCGTGGTGTTGGCCACCCACCCCCTCGTGTACCGTTCCGGCCTTCATAGGTGCTCGCTAACAGCACTTGCCCCTACAGTCTGTTAAGGCTATTTGGGGGATATTTGTCTTTGTGTGTGTGTGTGTACGTTTATTTTTTTGCACCATTCTTAGCTAAACCGTGTTAATCCGTGGGTCTTTGTAGTGCCTCTGGGTGTGTCTATGGGCCTGGGTGTCTATGGGTCTCTGCGTATTTGTGTAGGTATGTTGAATTTCTTTGGCACCGTACGTAGCCAACCGGGCTAACCTGTGGGTCTCTATGGGTGTCTCTAAGTGTCTCTGTGGGTCTCTGTATATGTATGTACGCATGTTGAACTTCTTTCACACCTTTCTTAGGCAAACCGTGCGTGCTAATGGGAGGTGCGGGGGAAGGACAACAAACTCAACACAAGAAGTCGTTCTAAAGAAATGAGTTTGCAATCGAGGTAATTTAAAAGTGCACAGCTCCAGCGGCTTCCTAATGTCAGAAGGAAGAGCGTTCCAGACGACTGCAGAAGCGCGGTGCAGTGACCATCTTTGTTCGATGGTTAGCCAAAAGCCGCTGCTGCCAGGATGACCGGAGTTTACGTGGTGATGGTTTATGCTCTTTAACGAGCTCACCACGGTTTTGTTGTTCATTTGTGGCGAGCACTTTGTGTGTGTAATGAGTGCGACTTCAATGTATTCGTTTGGTACCCAGAAGCCAATGCAGCTTGGCGAGTACTGACTGGACACGGTATTGGATCTTCTGCGGGAACTAAACAAATATTGGTTGTCACTGTCACACGACGAACATCACTCCCAATATAGACCACTGAGGGGGGAGATAATTGCTGCCCTCCACGATGGGAGACAGAGAGAGCTCATTGCAAAACATTCCTGTGGTAACTCTGTGGTCTCCGCTTCCGCAGGTCCATTCTAGAATAATAATAACGCCACGAAGGGCCTGGAGGCACTGCCTCTGTGAGAGTTCCCCAATAGATTCTGCCTCTCATGCTGCGATGGTGATTTAGCACAACATGGAGAGAGAAAATGTAAACATTGGCAGGAAAATAAAAGACATGACTACGAACCTACAATGGGTAGCATGGCCATAGGAAACATTTAAATTAAGGACGTCTCAATGTTATCAAGGAAAATGTAAACCTCAACGTGGTGTGACCTGGTAAGAAGAAAGGTGCATTTTACTGACACATTTCGTCTTGTTTCTCACAGCAGCAGCAACATCGTCAGTTGTCTACGATGGTTACGAATCGGTCTCCACTGGTGGCAGTATTTGTAGGTAAGTACTGGACAACTCTTCAGCATCATAATATTTATTTACATTTATTGGAGGAATCCGATAAGCTATGAAGCTCCTTTTCACAGATAGTCCAGTAAGGGCACGGGGACAGAACGTTACAACAACAGACACTAAACAAAAACACGATAGGAGTGCAAAATATAGGAAAGGTAAACAAATCAATTAAAACTAAAAAACATCATTATTTTAATTTACCAGGCAAAGGCCACTGAGCTATGTGGCTCTTTTTCAGAAGCGACTTGGCTATCACAAATGACAGCTCTAACGAAGTGGCTTATCACGTGGACATTTATAGCAGCCAAATACTCTAAACGCGTGACGTTGATTCTAAATGTGGAGGGAAAAAGCAGATGACCCCGAGAAAAATCCACGCGACACCATGGGGATAGAGAGACATGCAACAGCAGCATGCTTCGGGGTCGCGATCGAACTCACGATCTCCTATATTACCAGGCGAGGCAGTTAACTTCTTCCCACCACTGCGCCCCCAACTGCTATCTTCACATCAACCCCACAGTTATTCATGGAATGGCTCAACGACAACTTCAACAATGCTGATTTGAGCCTTCGTGACTGCAGGAATCCATACTCTTTGGTTCTTTCGGTAAAGTCACGTGGGTAGAAAATAAAATAAATCTCGACGTTTTGGGCGCAACACAAGCGTCCATCATCAGTTGGGAAAGCACGTGGTCTGCTGCTGAGGCAGACTGCTTTAAAAGGTTTGAAATGGGTGTAGCTCAAGGGTTATAAAGAAGTGGCCGGGGTTAGTGATGTTAATGTGAGAAATTAGCATGTAACTGTAAGATAGGAGGAGAGCGGCCTCCTAAACGAAGGCACGGAAGTGGCTATGTTAATGTGAGGGATTAGCATGATGTTAATGTGAGAGATTAGAGGGCACGGAAGTGGCTATGTGAATGTGAGAGATTAGCATGATGTTAATGTGAGAAATCAGAGGGCACGGAAGTGGCTATGTTAATGTGAGAGATTAGCATGATGTTAATGTGAGAGATTAGAGGGCACGGAAGTGGCTATGTTAATGTGAGAGATTAGCATGATGTTAATGTGAGGGATTAGCATGATGTTAATGTGAGAGATTAGCATGATGTTAATGTGAGAAGTTAGAGGGCACGGAAGTGGCTATGTTAATGTGAGGGATTAGCATGATGTTAATGTGAGAGATTAGCATGATGTTAATGTGAGAGATTAGCATGATGTTAATGTGAGAAATCAGAGGGCACGGAAGTGAGAAGAATAGCGGCCTCCTCGACGAGGGAGTGCAACCCAACGGGTGCAATGCAACGGCCATGTGAGCATGAGAGATCTAAGAGAGAGGCATAGAGAGAGACACACAGAGAGTCGAAATAACAGCTGACATATGCAGGTTGGATGGAAACATCACAGTCAGTTAATACTTTACCTGGTTAATAGCGTCCTTCCAATGATTGCTCAGTTTGTACCCATCTTCTCGGTTGTGTTTATATATCTGGATGGCTTCATGAACACATCTCTGAAGGTAGCCGGTAGGTTTGCAGAGTACCTCCGTCTTGGAAAATCTATTTCGTGTGAGCCCAAAGCGTTAAAACAATGATCGGCAACGGCAGAGGTATTGGTCCTACCGTGTTTCAAATCCACCTTGTGTTCACGGACGCGGTCCGACACATGTCAACGAGAGAGATACACATGGAGAGAGAGAGACACACACAGAGAGAGACACAGAGAGAGACACATACACAGAGGGACAACCCACAGAGAGAGCCACACAGAGAGAGACACAGAGAGAGAGACACACAAAGAGACACACACAGAGAGACACACACACAGAGAGAGACACATACACACAGAGACACAAAAAGAGAGAGAACACACATAGAGGCACACACAGAGAGACACAAACACAGAGAGAGACACATACACACAGAGACACAAAAAGAGAGAGAAACACACATAGAGACACACACACAGAGACACAAACAACAACAACCGCCATTCGCCACTAAGTGGCGGTGACGTCACCACGACGCTTGTGCCAGGCCATGTGCACCTTGAGGCCACGTGAAGTGTCGAACGTCCGCTGGCAGGTGGTCACGGGGCAGACCCAGCAGGTGCTACGGGTCGACTGACCGAGATGACCGAGATGACTGGCTGATGCACCACCTGTGCCCCCTACTGTGCCAACTTGCTCTGCTTTAGCCACCCGGCGCTCCGCTCATTGTTGTGAGCGTCGCTCCTCCGCCCTCCGTTGTTGCTGGAGGGCGACTGCCTCCAACTGCCCAGTAGCGTCCTTCACGAGCCTCCTCCACAGAGGCCGATCTTGACACCGCTGGTACCAGTCATCGGCAAGTCCACTCAGCTCCACGTCCTCCTGTACCACATCACTCCATCTCTTCTCTAGCCCGTGCCGCGCCCGCTTAGTCCCCTCGATCCGGCCCAACAAAAGCTATTTCGGCATGCGGTGGCTGGGCATGTGGGCTACATGACCCAGCCAACACAGCCTTGCCTGCCGAAGGAGCTCACCAATGGGACTTTGCCCAGATCTTTCAGGGATTTGTGAGCTCCTCACACAATCCAGCCTGGTTAAACCCAGGATGGATCGTAGGCAGGCCAGCCTAAATGTTTCCAACTGGTGAAGATGCTCCACTAGGGGGGTCCACGTTTCGCAAGCGTAGAGAAGGGAGGGAATGACTGTGGCACATAGAGAGAGAGACATACACCCAGAGAGACATGCATAGAGAGAGACACACAGATAGATAGAGAGAGACACACAGAGACACAACACAGAGGGACACACACTTCACCATTCCACGTGAAGTAAGTGTCATCAAAGTTGCAACATCAGGATTCAGTCCATGTTGGACCAAGTCTTCAATGATTGTAATGGTGTCAAGTGCAGGTATCTTGGTGAACAGAGAGACTACATCGAAACTGACAAGCAAATCATCTGGAGACAGTGAGATGTCCTTGATTAGAGAAAGCAAGTGAGCTGAGTTAAGTACAGCTGAGGTGGTCTTGCCAGTGAATGGAAGCAGGGTCTCACATAGACATCGTGCCAGTTTGTAGGTGTGTGAGTTAAGGGTGGAAACGATGGGACAGAGCGGGGTACCTTCTTTGTGGATTTTTGGAAGGCCCTAAAATCTGGGTGGTCTAGCAGCAGAAGGTTTTAGAGAGAGCAGATTGGTTGGTTTGCTAAAAGAAGTCGAGTTAGTGATGGTGTTGTTGGTTTTCGTAACCAGTCGGTTGGTAGGATCTCTATTGATTTTGGTATAGCTACCATCCTTAAGAAGTTCCTGAATTTTATTCTTGTATGTGGCTTTATCTATGATGACAGTGGCATTGCCCTTGTTGGCTGAGAGGATGGCAATATTATCTCTCGATTTAAAGCTTTCGTGACTGCAGGGATTCGTCTTCTTGGTTCTTTCGGTAAAGTCACGTAGAATGGAAAGAATAAAAAAAAAGCCATCAGATTCACCATGGAAGTCGAAAAAGATGGCAAGCTACCCTTACTTACTAACAGTAAGTAACTTTTGTTGCCAGATAAAAAGATAAAAAAATAATTATCATATTCTTGACTGGCAAATGAGGTTCCAATGGTGTAAATGCTTACCCCGAGCTCTCATACTCTGATGGTGCATTGTCTTTGAGTTGTGCGCCTTTTGGCGTCATCTGGTCCAACCCATGTGAGACTAGGCTCTAAGGAAAGCTGTCTCGGGTGTGGACCAATCAACTTCAAGGACAGTGCACATACATTATCAGAGTTATGTGTTTTGTTTGCATTATGACTGCAGGTATTGTGGTCTATGTAAACATGACTCCTTGTAAAAAAGGTGTCAGTTTTGTTGCCAGATAGAAGGGTACAAAAACAATTATAATATTATCTCTCTTTTTTAATTGAGCGAGTTCAAAACGCTCGTCCTTGCTGATTTTGCAAACAGGTTTCTTAGCGTTTTTGAGGATAGCAGCGATTTCAGATCTTGCTACGTTTGCCGGGATGTGTCCTAAGCCTTTGAGGGCGACATCGACCTGGGCAATGAAATCATCCACTGGGATGTGTTTGGGGGTGACTGCGAAATTCAACCCTTTCGCTAATACCTATTTTAGGCTGTCGGAAAATTGGCTGTTACTCTGATTGATAACAATCTTGTCAACATCTAATTTTGTGGATCTGGCTTCTTAGGAAGTTGAATTTAGCAATCAAGTTAACTTTACATTTGGTTGACATTGAAGCGGCAGAATACACTATCATGTTATCTACACGGTCCCAATTAGATGTGGACATTTTTATGTCAATGCCAAGTAAGATTGTAAGAGAGTCTTATCTAAATTATCAAGTTCAAATCGGAGCAGTCTTCTCTGAGATTAGGGCTAGGCTAGCCCTGAACAAGATCTGTTCAGCATTAGAAGTGACAGCTGTAAATGTGAGTGTAAAGGCGATCGGTATTACCTGTTCAGAAAGGTGAGAGACTGGATCAGGTGAGCCTTCTTGTCGCGCAGTTTGTTAACAGCTCTAACAGTTGTGAGGAAACCCTCCCCGTAGAGACGGTTCAATCTTGATTTGAAGCTTTTGTGGCTGCAGGAATCCATACTCTTTGGTTCTCTGTGTTGAGTCTCTGTGTGTGTCTCTGTGTGTGGCTCTGATTGTGTCTCTCTATGTGTGTTTCTCTCTCTCTCTGTGTCTCTGTGTTTGTGTGTCTCTCTCTGTGGGGGTTGTCTTTCTGTGTGTGTTTCTGTGTGTGTCTCTGTGTGTGTCTTTGCGTGTGGGGAGCGGTAGTGTAGCGGTTAGGGGGCTGCGCTATGAACCTGGCGACACGGGTTCGATTCCCGCTCACGGCCAACACCAGTGACGATTATCTGAACCGGTCCTGGGCCTCCCCTAGGTCAACTCAGCCTGAAATTATGCTGGCCACCCACCCCCTTCGTGTACCGTTCCGGCCTTCATAGGTGCTCGCTAACAGCACTTGCCCCTACAGTCTGTTAAGGCTATACGGGGGATCTTTGTCTTTGTGTGTCTCCCTCTATGTGGATGTCTCTCTCTGTTTGTGGGATGTGCCTTTCTGTGTGTGTCTCTCTCTCTCTGTGTCTCTCTCTGTCTCTCTCTGTGTCTCTCTCTCTCCATGTGTATCTCTCTCGTTGACATCCTGGTCTCTCCTCGTAGTTGCTCTTGCGGGTTTTTGTTCCTGTTGCCCGGCTCTCTGACATTGACATGCTAATCTTCTCATTGGCACTGCCCCCCGGTTGCTGGAGCCGTCTCACATTGACATGCTAATCTCCTACATTTACATACAAATTACATCTCTAGCTCCGCCCACTTACCCTTGGGTTGAGCCCACCTAAAGCCGATATAACCTCTTGTTGTAGCAGTTATTTATCCTGCCTCAGCAGTTCTCCTGCTGTGCTTGTCTCACCTGATGACAGTTGCTTGTGTTGCAATTGAAACGTTGTGATCTATTAATTTTCTATCTACGTGACTTTACCGAAAGAACCAGAGAGTATAGTAATACACAGTTTTCCTACCTAGTACAGAGTTTGCCTAGCAGTTGTGTAGCTACTACACATTGTGCATAGCTAGTACACTGTGTGTCTAGCTACTAGTGCACAGTTTGTCACATAACCCATAAAAAAAAGTAATTACCCATCGCCATAATTTGTGCTGATGTGTTTTCAAAATGCCCTGGCCGATTTTTAGTTCATTAACTCCGATTAACCCTCTTGGGGCAGTAGTTCTCAAAAGTTGTGGTCCCAAGAGCTACCATCACCAAGTGGTAAGCGGCTCTTACTCCAGGAGGTCCGTAGGGGCTGCCATGCAAATGTAGAATCAGAATGAGAATATTTAATTATATTGAAAGAGGAATCTGATGCGCTGTTAAGCTCTTTTTGATTACAGTCCGAGTAAAGGTCACAGATCAAGGTGGGGGAGATTGCCTATCAAGGTGGGGGAGATTGCCTATTAAGGTGAGGGAGATTGCCTATCAAGGTGAGGGAGATTGCCTATCAAGGTGAGGGAGATTGCCTATCAAGGTGAGGGAGATTGCCTATCAAGGTGGGGGAGATTGCCTATCAAGGTGGGGGAGATTGCCTATCAAGGTGGGGGAGATTGCCTATCAAGGTGAGGGAGATTGCCTATCAAGGTGGGGGAGATTGCCTATCAAGGTGGGGGAGATTGCCTATCAAGGTGGGGGAGATTGCCTATCAAGGTGGGGGAGATTGCCTATCAAGGTGGGGGAGATTGCCTATCAAGGTGGGGGAGATTGCCTATCAAGGTGGGGGAGATTGCCTATCAAGGTGAGGGAGATTGCCTATCAAGGTGGGGGAGATTGCCTATCAAGGTGGGGGAGATTGCCTATCAAGGTGGGGGAGATTGCCTATCAAGGCGGAGGAGATTGTGCAAGCCAAATGAGTTAGAAAGAGGGGTGGGGGGGGGGACTCCATAGAAGCTGAAGTCTCCAGCTTCCATGGAGTCCATAAACTAGTTTAGTTCCAAGAACTAGGGCTGATGCACACGCGGATCCCGTTATTACCTCATGCTGCTCCTCCCTGCCCATTTAGTTGCCCCCCGTGTCCTTGAAGTGAGTAGGTACTGCTCTGCAGAGCGTAGTGTATACTTGCTAGTCATATGAGAGATCAGTCAGGTCCGCAGGTACATTGGTCCAAGATCATTCAGAGCGTTATAGACCAGAATGGCTAACATATACTGGATGTGATAGCCTACTGGAAGCCAGTGCAGATCGTGGACAGTGGGAGTAATATGCTCAAAGTGGGCTTCATGCCTCAATTCTGCCGCTGTATTTTGCACTAACTGAAGCCGCCTTAACAAGACACATAGTAGCCCTGCATAAAGGACATTACCCTAATCAAGACGAGTTAATATGAATGCATGAGTTAACAACACAAGGTCATGCGCTGACAGGAAAGGGCGCAAACCTCAGAGCCGCCACCTGTGGATGCATGTTTAGGCTGAGGTCAAATAAAACTCTTAGGTTGCGTACCTTGGGCAAGGCACTAAGCTGAACCCGATCAATAAGCGAAAGTTCAATCTCGCACTGGGCCAGCCTGAATCGACCATCAGAAGCAATGATTATTAGCTCGGTCTTGTCATGATTTAACTGTAGCCAATTTTGTTCCAGTCATGTTGCTACCTCGGACAGACATTCAGAGAGTGCTGAGACACGCAACCCAGATTTGTCAGTAAGCGAGACATAGATCTGTGTGTCATCAGCATACTGGTGGCAACATAGGTCATGCCTCCAGATAATATCCCCCAGCGCCTGAACATACAAGTTGAAAAGCAGTGGGGACAGAATAGACCTCTGCTGGACTCCAAAATGGATGGGCCCTTCAAGTGACATAATGGGACCCATGGACATTCTGGGATCTACCTGAGAAGAAAGAGGCAATCCACTTTAAGGCAGTTCCACCAATTCCTGCCATGGTTCTCAGGTGCTGTAGTAGAACTGCATGGACAATTGTGTCGAAAGTTGCTGAGAGATCAAGCTCGACAAGGGCAGATATCTGTCCCCTATCCATTGACTGAAGAAGGTCATCACCCACACAACCGAGGGCCATATTTGTGCTGTGACTTAAAAGCCAGACTGAGCAATAATAAAACTAAAACTACCAGACTCAAGGCATTGTTCCAACTGGGGTTAGATCACCCTCTCAAACATCTTTTTTAAGAAATGTGATGTTGAAAATTGGGCTTTGTTTTGCAAATACATCAACATCCAGTCCCGGCTTCTTCAGAAGTGGTCGCATGAGGGCCTATTTAAGGAACACAAGGACTTTTCGATTTAAAGCTTTCGTGACTGCAGGGATTCATCTTCTTGGTTCTTTCGGTAAAGTCACGTAGAAGGAAAATAATAAAATTATAAAAATAAAACATAATAAAATAATTCTCACGACGTTTCAACATATTTCGTTGCTTCCTCTTATTTTCCTTCTACGTGACTACTGAAAGAACCAAGAAGATGAATACAAGGACCTCGCCGTTCGAAAGGGAGGAATTGACCATTGATGTATGCATTGAGGCTGCTGTCTCCAATGACTCCCTTAGGAGCCACTAAGGGCAGGGATTTAAATCACAGGTGGGTCAATTCAACCCGGAAGCAAGTTGCAAGAAAAATCCGTGATCTGGTCCCGTCTGTAAAAGATGTGGTTCCAGACATGCAGTACCCTGGCGTCTACAAACTAAGTTGCCTCTGTGGTAGAAGTTACATTAGAGAAACCAAACGACATGTCTCGGACCGCATCCATGAACATAAAGCAGACTTGAAACACGGTAGAACGAACACCTCACCCGTGGCAGATCACTGTTACAATTCAGTGGGCTCACATGACATTGACTTCTCCAAGACAGAGGTTCTCTGCAAGCCATCTGGCTATCATGAGAGATTCGTTCATGAGGCGATCCACATATACAAACACAGAGACAATTTCAACCGAGAAGATGGACTCTGGCTCAGCAATCATTGGAAGGACGTGATAAACCATTTTGGGTCTTATCTGATTATGTTCACGTTTACGGTGACTTTCAGACCGCAGTCCACTCACTGGCATTGACTATATATCTTGTATTCTTCTCAGGGAATGGAGTCTTTGCTCCGCTGCAAGTCTCCTACCACCACTCTGCCATTGACATATTTCGTTGCTTCCTCTTAGTACCTTTAACGCGACGGTCAATGGTAGAGTGTATAGCAGATTGTATAATAATAAATAGTATAAAAGTGTAATGTTTAATATAATGTATAAGGTCATATATAGTATCGTAATTGTATAGTGAATATACAGCAGTGTGGTATACAGTAGGGTGTGTAGAATAATACATAGTGTAATATTACAATGTATAGTCTAGTGTGTATAGTGTATAGTAACGCAGTGTATAATTCAATGTTGGGTTTGTCTATGGCAGTGTATAGTACGGGGTATATCCGTGTGATGTAAGAAAAAAGTTTAGCTGGAGGCATATTATATTTTTTGCGACATAGAAGTGTAATGTATGACTTACTGTTAGTAGCTCAGCTTATTGGAGGGTATATTGAGTATATTGATGATATTGGATGTAGTTTATGTTTTAGTTTTTTTACGTGGTGGTTTGGCTGCTGCAGCTCATTACTATTAAAATATCCCTCCCTTTATTACTGCTAATCCTACTTCCTCCCTTTATAACTGTTAATCCTCCATAATACACAAGCATAATATGACTTTGAGACCTCCCCATCACCTACACATTCCACAAGTAGTGACTAATCCCATATCTGCATTTTCCATAAATATGCTAAATTCCTCTGTTGATATGTAAATTCATTTGTCAAGGCGCTCTCCTCTTCTAACCCAGCTTATATATACGCTGTTAAGCTTGGTGGTGTTCATTCGGGACGCTGTCTTTCCGACAGACCTGTTCTTAACCTGAGGAGGCTGCTTGCGTTGTGCCCGAAACGTCGTGAGAATTTCATTTTATTATGTTTTAATTTTATTATTTTATTATTTCCCTTCTATGTGACTTTACCGAAAGAACAAAGAAGATGAATCCCTGCAGTCACGAAAGCTTGAAATAGTAGAAGTATAGTAGTATAGTGTATAGGAGTTCATAGTGTAGTGTATAATAGTGCCGTGTATAGTGTAGTGTGTTGAACGTATTTCGCACTGTGCGTAGCCACCCGTGCTAATCAGAGGTGCGGGGGAAGGGCAACAAATGAAACAAAAGAACAAGAAGCAGTTTTAAAGAAATCAGTTTTCAATCTGGAATCTGTCGCTAACCTCGGAACAATTCTCATTGTCTCTTTTTCACTCGTTGCTTGCGTTTTCAGTGTCTGTGTTCACAGGACCTGCCCACTTTGCCGCTCTGAACGTGAGGACGGATTCCGAGGTTCAAATCACAGAGGGATCCGTGGCCCTGCTCTTCTGCTCCTTTGACTGCAGCCCCAACAGTGACAAGGCCACGACTGTAGAGTGGTCTCGAGTGTCTGACGGCTCAAAGGTGATGGGGTTTCCTTTCCTTAAATGTAAACTTAAACTATAAAAAATATCTATATTTTACCGCTGAGTTTGCAGAAGTGACTTGGCCACAAATGATAGCTCAATGACGCGGCTTATCATCACGTGACAATTTAAAGCAGGCAAATACTCTAAATATTGGGGAGAGATAGAACACACAACCTCCAAGATCAAACCGGAGGGAGGTAAAGGAGAGGGACTGCTTAATGTACAGGGGCAGTGTTGAGTCCACGAGATGCAGTGGTGTGTCTATGGGGCAGTTCTGCTTAATGTGTTGATTCCAGTGGAGGGGTGCACTACTCATCCTTTTAGTGAACGATCATCTTTCAAACATAAGTCACTTATAACAACGTGTGCACACGCATTGCGGATGATCCCCTAAACCTCGCAGATCTTGGTTAAGAATGGCAACTACTTCAAACCTCACCCGCGGATGGAGTGGGCTGGTGATGAGTCCAACTGCGATGCCACCATTCGCATCAATGACGCGGAGACCAGGGACTCCGACAGCTACCGGTGCAAGGTGATTCGCCAGCCCTCCAACGACCAGGGCTTCAGTGTGGTCAGACTGAGAGTCTCCGAGACTAGAGGTGAGACAGGCGGATGGACGCACCCGCAATGGCTCGAGTTGTTTGGTCTTTTCGTTTGAACGTGGCCGTTGGATTTGTTGTATGAGCAGCAAATAGAATGGACACCGGTGCTGTTTGGAGACATACACACGTATGTAGAAAGGATGGACAACGGGTAAATTTTAAGTGGGGTGGTGTTGTTGTTCAGAAAAATGGAAAGAACCGGTGAGAAAGGAGGACTCTTAACAGAGAATGGCTTAAACTTGATCTGGAGCTTTCGTGACTGCAGGAATAACTTTTTGGTTCTTTCGGTAAGGGCACGTATTATTTAATTGACTTCCTTTCTATGTGACTTTACCGAAAGAACCAAAAAGTAGAGAATGGCTTAACGACGACATTCGGAGATTGGTGCCAGGAAGATGTGGCCACTACTTGAGCCATATTGGCACTACAAAACAGAGGAAAGTAGAAACAAATGACTAAATGTGCAATGAACACACACCTACTACGGGCTATCTGCCCATGGCTCCTATGGTGTTTCTCTCCACATTTAGAATCAACGTTACCAGTTTTAGAGTATTTGGCTGCTATGCATTTATGCGTGATAGTCAAAGTCACTTCTGAAAAATACCTACATAGCTCAGTGGGGCCTTAAACCTCATAAAATGTAAATACAATTTTTACTAAACTTTCGTGACTGCAGGAATTCATATTCTTTGGTTCTTTTGGTAAAGTCACGTAGATAGAAAATAAATATAAAAACATTAAAAAACACATCGCAACACAAGCGGTCATCATCACGCGGAAAGAAAAGGGGGGAAGGGTAAGCCTCTAAATGCAACTGTTTATTTTAATTTTATGTTATATCTACGTGACTTTACCAAAAGAACCAAATAATAAAAATGTTAATTTTTGGTTTGCATTAGTGGATTCATAAAGGCCGTGTCACAATACTCAGGCAATGCCACCGGGCACCTGGGTTCGAATCCAGGTTTCATCCTTGCCTGGACCATGCAATGAGTGTGTGGTTGTTTCAATTTTCATCAAATTTATCCATAGATCTGGTAGTCCGTGCCCCTGGGGAAGTTACGGCGGTGCAAGGAGACACTGCCTTCCTGCCATGCTCCTACTTCTGTGGCGTCAAGGGCAATAACGACACGCTGGTGGAGTGGTACAAGACCATAAACGGAGAAAAGAAAAAGGTCAGTGTTGGCGAGTGGTGCATTGCAAGCAGCGCGTTCCTCCCGTTCCCCCCACGGGTGAAGACATCTCTCTGGAGGCATGGCTGGATTCCTTTATTGTAACGAGGTTATCTTCTGTGCTGCTTGAAGCGAGTAGTCCCTCCGCCATGCAAGAGCAATCACCTACGATTAGATATGGTTGGCTACATACAGCATGAAAGAAGTTCACTACAAGACAAAGGTACCCGTATAGTCTTAATTAGCAGCGAGCGATCGAGCGACTCGCAAGTGGTGATAAACAAAACAATTAAAAACTCAGAAAGGTGGAGGGAAAGCATGTAGGTTATTTTCTGTTTTTATTCCTTCCCTCCCCCTTCCTCCCACCATCTGCCCTTTCTCCAATTTCCTTCACCCCTTGCTGACCATAATTTTCCTCATGAGGTTGGGGTTTTACTTCCACCTCAACCTACCTCAGCCATGATAACCTCGACTATCACTCCCTGTGTAATGAGTTCTTGGAGAAGCTCGTAGAGGCAACGCGTTTATTTATAACGCACAACAGTAACACTCCTCTTATACAGCCTAGGAACACAGCCTCCGACTAGCGTGCCTAACATCGGCTACGCTCTCAGGTCCACTGGCTATGATTTACCTAGGCGAGGCTATCTGACCCAACCTAGCCAAGGTACGGGTCCCAACCGCTGGCTTCCTCAGACCCGGCCCTTACAAGGACATCAGGCCGGGAGTCCCAAGGTCTCACCACTGGCCCACACAAAGCCCCGGCCCTTACAAGGACAGCTGAGACCGTACAATGTGTAATGCGAGCGTATGTGAGGTTTCGCCGCCCCAGCCCCTAAGCCAACCAGGCGCCACGAACCATCGGGGGCAGGGTCTAAGTGCGGAGCCCGCGGGCGTTAAGGGAGGGGTATTATCTGGAAAGTTCTTAAGGGGTGTGGCGAAGGGCGGAGTCTGGGTGACGTGGGAAGGGGATATAAGGGGGAGCCGGAAGGGGCTCGGGGTCAGTTGGTGAGAGCTGGAAGCTGGGCCACGTCAGGAGTCTCCGCGAGTCATCGGCCACGTGGCGACGCGGAGACGGCTCCCAGCGCGCCGTCTGCCAGCGGTGCGCGGGAGCGGGGGAAGTGCGAGAGCGGCGCGGGAGCGGGACGTCAGTTCTGCGACACAGGCGCTTGTCGTCGACCCGTTTTTATTACGAATGTGTAATAAAAGACTCCGTCAGGCACTGCTGGTCTCCGTTGGTCTTTTATTTAGGTTCTTTCTCCGCACCCCGCTGGTCTCCTCCGCAGACCAGCGTCGTCTCGCGCGCCCCCCGCACGCGCTCCCTCGTCAGCTCCTCCACTCTTCCTCACACCCCGCTGGTCCTGACAAGGGACCAGCGTCTCCTCTCGCGTGCCGCGCACGCTCCTCCGTTAGCTCCTCCACTCCCGCACTCCGCACACCGCCGGCCGACGGCGTGCTGAAGGTCCTTCGGCCATGTGGCCGATGGCGCGGATCTCCTCTCACCACCCAACGTGGCTCAGCCTCTTTACTCCGCAACTCCCCCGATTTCTTCCGAGCTCCCACCTATATCCTCTCCCCCACGTGACCCTGACTCCTCCCCTTCCGGATCGTCAGATCTGGCCTTCCCATACTGCCCTGCTGGCTCCGCCCCCATTCACCTCGCCTCCCATTGGAGCCGAGGTGAACGGTGGCCCCTCCCACACGCCCCGCAGACCAGGCTCCGCCCCCCAATACCCCGGGCCGTGTGATTGGACCAGAGCCCAGCAACAACCCCATTTACGCTCGCATTACAAATGTATGATGACGTCAAAGCCCCAATCCACAAATACGAGAGAAACATCAAAGCAATATTCTACACTCCTCCTGACGCAGTTATCTTGCTTCACCACCCAAATGTGATATTTTAGTTGCTTTGTATCTATATCAGCCATCCGAAAGAATAAGATTTAAATACATTAAAAAATATTTAAAAAGATAAATATGAACCTGTTACTTCGAGTAATAACCAAAATAATGTACAAATATCTTTCAATACGTGATTAGTAGCACGATTCATGTACAGTTTACCATCGATTATCTGGTGCGTCATTATCCGGCTTCCAACATTATCAGGCGATCCCGGACCGATCCGACGAAATCGGCAAAACTGCTGCAAAGGTGCGGCAATCGGCACGTGTGCGTGACGAAAAATAAAAGTAGCTATTCTTGATTTCAGTGTCAAATATTATGTACAGTACATTGTACACTCCATCCAACTTAATGAAAATACTGCACGTATATATATACAGTATTCACGACTAATAACTACAGTAATTAAACCATAAAACGCACACGGTGCTATCTGGGAAAAAATTGCTGTGTAATTCGTCGTTCGCCGGAGCACCCAGTCTAAAGGCTGCATCAGTCGGGCGATTGTCAAAAACATGGTTGTGATGAAACAAGAGCGTAGCACTACGTACATCATCTCATGCAGAGTCGTCGAGATTGCAGTGGTAAGTACAGTACAGCAACTACAGTAACTTTCTTTTCCAGAATTTGTTTTTCCCTATTTCTATATATTTACTTTTCCCAATTTCTTATAATAAACACTTTTAAAACACTTAAAAATATACACAACACCTAATACATAATATTTACAATAAAGTGCAAAAATAAGCTCTATAAAATAAACTTATTTGGTCATTATCCGGTGTTTTTGAAATTCCAGCACCCCCTTCCCCCCCTGAATCTACCAGATAATCTACCGTATTGTCATTTTTTTTGTCGTGACTGATTTAAATTATCGTTGACGCGTGATGGTTAACTAAGACATTGTTGCTCTATGCTTTTGTGCTTCCAGATATATAAGATCGAACTCCGGAGCTTGAATGAACCGCGGGTGATGTGGATGGGAGACGAGTCCAAGTGTGACGCGTCCATCTTTATGCGCAACATCCAGAACGACGACTCTGGTCCCTACCGCTGTGAGGTGACACTTCTCTCCTATTTCAAACAAGGCAGCAAGACTCTACAGCTGAGAGTACAAGAAGCAGCACCGGGTCTGTATCGCATCCTCCAACATAATATTTGAACGTATTGGCAGTTACACCGTTAGTGTGCGGTAAAAAAAAAATTCACAATAAAAATGTTTTTCCCGCGATTCGCAACCACAGTCAGAAAATCTTCCTGGGTGGTGGTGTGAGTCGAAATCAGTTTCTCGTGATTTTGAAGCGGTCAGAAGATGAGTGTTTATGAGCAGGCTGTACAAGAAGCTTATTCACAGTCTGTTGTGATATAGCAGCAACCCAGCATGATGACGACTGGCTGGCTCCATGTTCTAAAGGCAGCAGTCTGATTCTGTCACCTGAAGACGGTCGCTTGTTGTTGCGATCGAAACGTCGTGATCTGTTATTTTTTCTACCTACGTGACTTTACCGAAAGAACCAAAGAGTATGCGAATGAATTTTTTTAGCAATTGTGTGCGTTGTTAGGGGCAACTCCTGTCAGCGTTTCGCGTATGCGCAATTGTGTGCTGTCCCACGCCGGGCGGCAAAACTATATAAATAAATAAAAACACATCGCACTAAATTGTTAATTAAACTACTTTAAAGTTTACGGACGGGAAAACGGCATAGCGTTGGCTCACCACGGGGCTTACGGCGTGGTACCTGGCAAATTATTTTTTAACGTGAACCCCACCATTTCAGAGCCAAATCCCTCGCAAGCGCGTGAACACAATCAGACAAAAAATGCCTTTTATAGGTTAGAGCAGGGGTCAGGAACCTTTTTGACTGGGAGAGCCATAAAAGCCAAATATTTATAAATATATTTCATTGAGAGCGATATAGTATTTTTAACGTATAATAAATTAAATATGTCTTACTTTTAATGCGACGTCTGGTGCTGCATGGTTTTGCTGATGGCCTTGTAGTCTGGTTCATACGTGATGAGGTTGAGCTTCATGCAGGCGTGACCCGTGAAATTTATCTTCAAAACTAATTTCTGTTCACTTTAAAATGACACAGTATTATTAAACAATATCACAAGTATTTTAGAAACAGTTCCAAACAGATTTTTTAAAATTATTTTTTCAACTCAAAATTGTCTGGGAGCCATATGCCGTCACTGGAAGAGCCATATATGGCTCGCGAGCCATAGGTTCCCGACCGCTGGGTTAGAAGATGTGTTGTCAATCCCGCCACCACCAGACACAGACAATTAGTGAGAGTCTATCATGGAACCTTTTTTGCCAGTATCAAAGTATGAAAAATAAGAAAATGTTTTCCCATTTTTGGCAGTAATAAAACAGGAGGTGTTAAAATGTTCAACCACCGACTTGATACCTTTTTCAAGGAATGAAGTTACTGCATTCATCACGCACAGTACTTGTGGTGAACATGCAAACAAACATGGCTCTGATGATATATGCATTGTCTTTGAAACTGATTGTCCTACACCATAGACAGCCTTCGTCATGGCACGAGATAGAGGTGCCACGGTGGCTAGGAGATGGTAACTTCCTCGCCTGGTATACAGGAGATCGTTGGTTCGATCCCGACCGTAAAGCCTGCTGTAATTTTGAAGTTTGTGTATCTCTGTCCATGGTTGCGTGGATTTTTCTCTGGGTCCACCAGTTTTTCCCTCCACATTTAGAATCAAAACGAGTTTAGAGAATTAGCTTGCTATAAATGTCCTCATTATAACCCACTTTGTTGAGCTTTCCTTTGTGGCCAGGTTGCTTCTGAAATAGAGCTAAATGGCTCAGTGAGCCTTACCTGGTAAAATATAAACAAAAAGTCCAGTTTCGTTTTAGAAATGACGCTTGACATGAAACTGCAAAAATCATCTTCAGGGCGAAATTCAGGAAGTATTTTTTTTCAACAGCAATCAACATGCTGAATGCTAGTATATGTTACAATTTAATGTATTTGGCTATAGCAGGTGACAAGAGTCTGACAACACAAATATTCATAGATCATTACGTGGCCACAACCCAAAAATCAATAATGAATCTCACAAACATTTTTTACATGTCAATGATCAGATTTGTTAGCGTATGTCTGTATGTATTTTTTACTTAATTTTCACCGTACGGAGCCAACCATGCTAATCAGATGTGCAGGGAAGGATGACAAATTGAACACAACAACGAGCAGTTTTGGCAGCATTCATGATGTGGCTTGAAATACCAAAACCAGGGCTGGGAGCACGGGAGCAAAACTACCAAGAGGTCAGCAACTACGGAATTCAATTTGCGACTCTCAGCAACAAGGCGTTACCAGTTATTGTGAATATTATTGCCTAAACTGTAAAGGGCCCAAACCATAAGTATACTCTTTGTTTCTTTCGGTAAAGTCACGTAAGTATAAAATAAAATAAATTTAATCACGACGTTTCAATTGCATCACAAGCAATCATCATCAGGTGGGAAAACCACAGCAAGAACATTTTTTGCTGAAGTGGGAGAGAGTTGCCGTGGTAAGAGGTAATATAGGTAAGAAAGGGGGAGGAGCAAGGGGGGAGAGGGAGGGGTGGGGGTGTGGGGTAGGGGGAGGGAGAGTGCTGCGTGGTGTAGTAGTACTCGGCAGGTATGATGGACGACAACCAATACAAAGCAGTTAGGGTTTTACCTGGTTAATAACATCCTTCCAATGATTGCTCAATTTGTATCCATCTTATCGGTTGAAGTTACGTCTATGTTTATATATCTGGATAGCTTAATGAACAAACCTTTGATAGTTGCCCGAAGGTTTGCAAAGTACATTGATCTCGGAAAAAAAAACAATATAATGCGAGCCCACAGCGTTATAACTATCGTCAGCCATGGCAGAGGTATTGGTTCTGCCGTGTTTCAGATCTGCCTTGTTCTTGCGAACATGGTCCAAGACATGTCATTTCGTTTGCCCAATGTAACTGCTACCGCAGGTACAACTCAGTTTGTAGACTCCAGGATATTGCATGTCAGGAATGACATCCTTCACAGATGGGATTAGATCATGGATTTTGTGTGCTGTATTGAATCAGACCTGGATCTTGTGTTTGTGTAAGATTTTGGAAATCTTTTTGGTAACACCTGCTATGTATGGTAACGTGATGGTTTTGATCGGCATCTCAGGGGGTTGTTTCTCCATGGTTGGAGAAACAGCTTTGCGAATAATGATGTCCAAGTACCCATTCATCTTGAGGACCAGGTGTACATGCTCCAGTTCACTGGCTAGGTGGTGTTGGTCAGAAATGCAGTGGGCTTTATGGTGTAGTGTTTTGATGAGGGAATTCTTCTGTGCCAGGTGGTGGTGGGAATCAGGTTTCAGATAGGAATCTGTGTGGGTGGATTTCCTGTAGACAGAGTGTCCCAACGAGCCGTCAGGTCTCTTCTCAAACAAAACATCCAGGAATGGTAGCTTACCATCCTTCTCCACTTCCATGGTGAATTTGATGGATGGGTGTATGGAATTAATGTGGTTGAGAAATTAGTTTAATGCTGGCAGGCCATGTGGCCAAATGACGAAAGTGTCATCTACATAATAATATGGTTGTTCCCCGTTTTTCTGGCAACAAAACTGAAACTTTTTTACAAGGATTCATGTCTGCATTAACCACAATACTTGCAGTCAAAATGAAAAAAAAAACACACTGATAATATATGCATTGTCCTTGAAACTGATGGGTCCACACCAGAGACAGCTTTCTTTAGAGCGTCGTCTCAATTGGTGCTAGACCAGATGACGCCAAAAGGCGTACAGCTCAAAGACAATGCACTATCAAAGTAATGAGGGATCGGGGTAAGCATCTACATCATTAGACCTCCTTTGCCAGTACCAAAATATAATAATAGGGTTGTTTTCACTGAGCTTCAGTCACATGTCTATTTGGAAGCATCTGAGCGGCTCAAGCCTGCGTTGGGCCACGTTGAAAGCCAAGTCGGAGCGGAGCCGCGACTAAGAAATTAGCAATCATGATTTGAAGCTTTCGTAATTGCAGGAACCCATACTCTTTGGTTCTTTCGGTAAAGTCACATAGATAGAAAATGAATAGATCACGACGTTTCTATCACAACACAAGCAATACATTGGGGAAACGAAACGACATGTCTCAGACAGCGTTCGCAAAAACAAGGTAGATCTGATTCTAGATTTGAAGCTTTCGTGACTGCAAAGATTCATACTCTTAGTTATTTCGGTAAAGTCATGTAGGTAAAAAATTATAAAAATTAATAAAAGTAATAATAGAAATAAAATAAAATCACGACGTTTCGGAGGCAACACAAGTCTCCGTCATCAGGTGGGACCGTCACAGCTAAATTTATTGTATCAAGTGAGGCAAAATTCCAAGAGACGAGCCCTTAAATACAAGTTAAGGGGGGAGGGGCTTATCTGAATGTGGTAGCCAGGGAATGGAACGTGGGGGTGGTGGGCGGGGCTACAAGAGAAATTGGCGAACGTCGACCTGTGCAAGAGAACAATCGGTGTACCTCGACCTAAACAGGTGTTGGCTGAGAATCCAAATACAAAAAAGTGGTACTGTTAAACGCTGGGGATGTCAACACTTGGTAAAGTAGAAAAGTACCTGTCAAATAAGATGGTACAAATATGTGTAGTTAAATCTTTTTTTACATGGTTTATAACATCTTTCCAATGATTACTCAGTTTGTACCCATCATCACGGTTGAAGTTATGTCTGTGTTTGTATATCTGGATGGCTCGTGTACAAACCTTTGATGGTAGCCAGAAGGTTTGCAGAGTACCTTGGTGTCAGAAAAGAGGCTCTCATGATATTGTCAGACCTATATAAGACCTTGTTTCAGTAGCTTTCTCTCTCACCTGAAGACGATTGCTTGTGTTGCGATCGAAACATCGTGATCTATTAATTTTCTATCGACGTGACTTTTCCGAAAGAACCAAAGAGTAAGAAAATAGCCTTTAAACCCTTTGCCATTGCGTGTACGTTATAAATTTCTCTGCCGATTCCATTCCGGTGATGTGCGTACATGTACGGAAGTAAAAAAGGCCAGAGGAGGGCGTGTGGGATTAGTATTCGGCAGCGGAATGTGATGCATTGG